GTCCCCTCGTTAATTAGTAAGAAAATTAATGAAGCCGCCTCCGCGTGCAAACTTTGCGCTTTCGCTCACGCGCGCGAGGCTCATTAGTCTTTTATAGTTACGAGCATTAACGAAAGTTGTAGATGCGTCCTCGATAGTTAGGCGATTACGTGCCCGTCAGGAGTAACGACCTAACGAGTATCAGACATCAAAAGAAGTTTCTCATTAAAGCGAACCTGCCGATCGTGCCTCGCGTCGCGCAGCGTCGCCTCGCGCCGCGTCGCTTTCCGCTTTTCGCTTTTCGGAAGCGACGCTCGTGATAATTGTTAACTATAAAGCTTCTTTGCCACGCTGTGAAAGGATCTATACGAGAGACCGAGGGATCTACATGAAGGATCGATGTAACGGATGTATATGAAACTTTGGCGATCGTGTTCTTCGATAAATCACGAGATGACTTTGTGTTTCGCGAAGTTCCAAGCCCAAAGCGCGTATATATGTTATGATTTAATACACGTTATGATTTAATACGGAAAGTCGGGGGTTTCAACGAGTTGCAGGGAAGGGGGGGAGAGAGAGAGAGAGAGAGAGAGAGAGAGAGAGAGACGACGACGACGACGACGACGACGCGTCGTACGGTATGAATTTAATTTTAACAGTACCAGGTATATGCATTGAGCAGGTGCGCCATGATGCCTTGATTTCTAATTCATCGGGCTGTACTTCCCCGACTCAATTTCACGTTTCAACGTGCATCCTGATATGTATTCCGGTCTGATCTGAAATCCCGCAAAAAGTGCCAGATTACGGTATGACGGCACGAGAAGAAATCTCAGCGCGAGGAAATGAACGGGAGAAAAATAAAGCTACGGATAAGAGACAAAATGTGGATAAACGTACGCCGTAATACCAAGTACATATTCACTTGGCCCTCCCTCCTGCCCCCTACACTCCGATCAAGCCGGATCGAGCCCGTTCACTTTACGGGTGCTATCAATCCGCCGGGCGGATAGCGGTGAACTCGCGATATAAAGTAGTTCCGTAACGAAGTCGGGCGAGCAGATTTCAGCGACGGAACGAGGGCGTTTGCGAATCCGCGGAGTCGCAAACGGCATAACGACCCTCGAAAGTGCTCTCTCTCTCTCTCTCTCTCTCTCTCTCTCTCTCCACCTTTTCCTCCCTCCCTCGTTTCAGGACGACGGAAGAAGGGTTTAGCCCACTCCGGAGACGAGTGAACTCCAGGAATGTAACTCCTTGTGCCTGATAACTCAAGCCGCTGGGAGCTAATAATTCTCCCTTCCCATCCGACGCGAATCACGACGCGAATTACTCCCTCATGCAGCGCGCGCTCGCTCGCGAACGTCAAATCCTTCCGCGAGCGTCCTCCGGGGAGGACGACGTCTCCACTTGGCCGTGTGAATTTTCCGGCGAAGGAACTGAAAACTGCTGAATTTCGAGCAGGAGGAAATCCAGGGGGAAGAGGCAAGTTGCTGATTTCACAGCGGGGGTAGGGGGTGGGGTGAGGGAGGGAGTCCGGCTGGCCACGGAAAGGGTCGTGTAAATATGCCCGAGAATGCGGCATCTTTAATACACACACACACACACACACACACACACACACACACACACAGACGTGTCTTGGCGCGCTCGCGCGAGCGTGTAAGAGGATTAACACTTCGACGGTGATTTGTTTTCGCAGGGGTTGAATTCTTCGCCCGCTCGGAATTAATTAGTTTACCCAGCGGCTCCCTGGCAAGTGTTATTCTCGCCGCGCACGCGCTCGCGCTCGCGCTCACACTCGCGCCCCCGCCCCCGCCCCCGCCCCCGTATATTTCCCGGCATTTTCCGAGACTACGAGAGACGTATACATCGTCGCCTCGTTTACAGGCTTTCGCGCGAACCGGAACGAGAGTAGACCGCGCGAGAAGCGGCGGCGGCGCGTCTTTCTTCCCCGAGCTTGTGTCCCGCGCGTCCTCCTCTCCCGCCTCCCGCATCCTTCTCGCCCGCAGCTTCCAGCTATCGTCCCGCCGGTAACGATACGGGCTCATGGCGGCTTTGCCAAATTATAGCAATAATATCACTTAGAATCGCGCATAGCGGGTCTCGGCGAAATTTCACTTAAGCCGGCGATTCGCGGGATCGGCGCATACGGACCTACAACGCGAGTCCCCTAATGTTCAGTCGTTCCCGAAATAACCGACTTTAACCTACGAACGAGCCACTTAACGAGCGAACCCCCCAACCCGTTCTCTCGCCTCGCCTTGCGACTTTCTCTTCCTCACTCCTTTGCGCTGTTTGCGCGAGCGAGCGTATGCGCTGGTCGATCCCAGCTTGCTCCGCTGAAACCGACGCGGCATCGCAATAAACAAGAATATAATTTCGCAATTATTCTTTTCCGTTAGCCGAAGAGCCTCACGGGAATCCCGGAAAGCAGGGGCGAGAGAGCCCTTACTCAGCCTTTCCCGCGGACCGAAACTTTCGTCGCGGCCGTCTGATTTTCGGCGCGAATTCTTAATCCTCCTTTTCCTCCGTTCGAAAATTCTTTCATCTCTCTAGATTCCCCTCTTGGTCGAGATCAGGCTCGAAGTGCATCTTCGACCGATAAATCGATTTCCTCCGATGATCTTCAGTTACGTTCGAGGAAGCTCGAACGAGATTGAACCGTCTTAAAGGAATTTAGCTAACTTCTCTCTTGGAACGAGTATAAAGTTTAGAACGCACAGGTGAATAATTTCCAAACTAATAATCGCCTTCGTCGTGCCGGTATCTTCGCGAAGAAGAAAATACATAAAAAAAGACTGCTCGCCAAGAGACAGAGTGGCACACGTGAGAAATGTCTTCGATCCGTTCGTCGTTAATCCACAGCTGTTACGTTACGACGTTCCATCGATCGATCGCCGAGGCGATTTCGCGGCAGGAAGCAGAGCTTCATGCGCGCAGCGATTTTCTTTTTGTACCTCGGGAGCGGCTCTCTTATCAGGAATGTACTCCTCCCCCCCCCCTCTCCTCATCCTAATTTCTACTTTAGATCTCGAAATATCTTCATAGACCCTCGGGGAACCTCTTAAGTCTCAAGCACCGCAGTTAGGCGTTATTCTCACGACGTCTCGCGGATAAAACGGCACGGCTGCTTCGAGTCTCTCTCCTCTCAAAAGTCGCACGATAAACGCGCTGCGGACGTCTCGCGCGCGCGTCTTGAGAGCGAGGCACGTCTTATCGAACCGCTTCGTAACTCGATTAAAGCCACTCTGTGCGCGCGAATAATAATAGCGGCTCGTTAAAGCGCCCCCGCACTCCGCCCGAAGAAGAGACGACGAAAGTCTTCCGCGAGATTTGCGCTTCTATTTCTGAAAGGGCGTTTGATTGGAAGTACAAGTTCCTTCTGGCGAAAGGAAGCTCCGCTTGCGCGTCGATTCACGCTGGCGGCGGCGGAAGAAAGGAAAACACAAACGAGCGAGCGAGTGTCGATGACGCCCGAGCGCGAAGAGCGAAGAGCGAAGAGCGTTGACACTGACGGACGAAACGCAAAGTGCAATTCCGCAGGGCCTTGCGTGCGTCCTTCGCCTTCCCGCATGCCTCCCGTGGCGATGATAAAGCACATTTCGCGCGCAATTTGTAGCGCCGTAGCAATTGCGAGATTCACGCCGGGCCGTGGCACCGGGCGATACGCCGGATAACCACGAGATATCGGCCCCCGCTGCCGCTGGGAGACGCGATCCTCCGAGAGGATCGGTTAGCTAATCGAGTTAATAGTCGACAGAATACGAACGAGGAATGATACTCGCGGCACATACAAGCGTGGACTACTAATGCGCGTCTCGCTCGATGTTACACAGCGCGCTCGTCGCTCCATTCGTCGCTCACGCGAGCGCGAGCGAGCGCTCTTCCTTCGGCTTACACTTCGGAGATGAATAGATAGATAGAAAGAGAGGGAGAGAAAGAGAGAGAGAGAGAGAGAGAGAGAAAGAGGAGGAAAAACCGAAAGGGCGAGAAAAGGAGAGAGAGAGAGAGAGTGTTCTGGAGGGGTTACACGGGCGTTAACACAGTTAACCTCCAGATCGAGAGCGTAGAGTATGAGGAAGCAAAACGAAGACTAAGGATCTCCCTCTCGTCTGTCAGGGAGCGAAGGGGTTGGCAAGGTGAGGGAGGAGTGAGTCGGGGGCGGGGAGGGTCTAGTTGGAGGCTAAAAGCCTCGTCGAATTCTTCACGTCGCTCCGTTCGCGCACCTGACGGCATGAATTTTGATTTGCAAATGAAATCTCAACTTCACCGAGAGTTTCGCGCCCGGCAATCTTCCCGGCCCTGCCTTTGTTTTCGGTCGCTTTCACGGCGAGCTCCAATTATACGGTCCATTCTCTCACCCCTTCGCGATTCCCTCCTTTCGCTCGCTCGTCCTTCCTTCCCTCCCTCCTTCCCTCCTCCCTTTTTTCCGCTCCAGCGTCTCATTCCATTTTTTCGCGATCTGTCCGCCGCTCCGCTCTTTCTCTGTCTCTGCATCTTTCTCCCTCCTCGTCGTCGTCGTCGTCGTCGTCGTCGCTGCCATCGATCTGCGCTTTCTTTCCTACCCGTTAGCCGGGAACTTTCGCAGAGAATGCCGGACACAGAAGGAGAGCTCGGCATGAAATTCGCGAACGGACTGAATTCTAATTATCCCCGACGTTTCTTTCGCGCGTTCCCCGCGTTCCATCTTTTTGCCGCACCCGTGCGTCGCTTTCACCGAGCCGGCGGCGTCCTTCGTTATGCGCCGCCACATTACAAAAAAGACCGTCGTCGTCGTACTGCATAAGAGCGAGCGAGACGGAGACAGAGAAGACGGAAACAGGGGTCGGAGAACACAGTGGAGAGAGTCAGAGACGCGGGGGGGGGGAGGGGGGGCGAGGAGTAGCGGCCATGCATCCTGCGCGAGTCGCGTGCGTGCTTGTCGTTTAAACAGCTTCGTTACCGCGGGGCATTATGCCGACTGACCAATATCCGACGAGCACAACATTGACCACTTCTTGTCGTTCTTTGCTTTTTCACAGTGAAACCGCTCAAGATAGAGATTTTGGGGAAGGACCAGATCCTCTCGGCCGGGAAGACGTACGACGTCAAGTGTCAAAGCGCCGGCTCGAAGCCGATGGCCGTCTTAACCTGGTGGAAAGCTTCGAAGCAGCTGAAAGGGCTGAAGAAAAACGTGAGTAACACGCCAAGATCCTTCCTATCCTTCACCGCCGCCGCCCCCCCCCTCCCTCCCTCCTTTGCTTTCACGGGACGAGCAAAAACCTGGCCTGTTTGAACGGGGCGACGGGGGAACAGCGCGCTAAGCGCGCTTAATCGCATCTTCTCCGCTGAAAACGCCGCCACTGTTTCGAGACGCCAGGAATTCTCTTGGTTGCACAAATACACTCCGCTTTGCTGCGCGGGCTAACCTGGTTAGCCCGCGCCTAATTGTATAAGCCACTTCATTTGAGCACAAATATTTTCGTAACGGCGAGGTGAACGAATTATCGTTAGTCTTACGTGAACAACGCGAGAGCGTCGCTGACGCGCGTCAGCGCGCCGCCGCTTTATTCGCGGAGAGACTATTATGGAGGAGGGAGTATTATTATCTCGCCTTTTATAAAAAAACGCACATCTTTTCCTCTCTGTCTCTCTCTCTCTCTCTCTCTCTCTCTCTCTCTCTCTCTCTCTCTCTCTCTCTCTCTCTCTCTCTCTCTCTCTCGCGCTCTTCCCCCCGAACGAAGTCTATATTCTCCAAGAATACACCGCACCGCGATTGTTTTCGCAAAAAAAGACCGTTATTATTTCAGAGTACTGTTAATTTACTTGAAAGCTATTATTATTTTATTTTATTCCGCACGTATAACCTGGATTCCAATCACGATCTTAATTTGCGCGAGTGCACTGTTCCACACAGTGTGTGTGTGTGTGTGTGTGTATTAGTCTTTGTATTACTTTTATATATGTATATGTGTATATATCGTTCTATCAATGTCTCGAAATTGAAATCTTCGATTCGTCGCCGCCGCCGCCGTTATCGGCGTTACGCGCGAGCGAGCGGAGCGGAAATCGCGGAGTCTCGATCACGATAACACACATTCCCGCAATATCAATCACCGCGAAATCTCGTTCGCGGGGACGCTCGCAAAATCGACGCGCGAAAAATCCGTATCTCACCCGCGCACGCGATTAAATGAAGAATAATAGGAAACGACGACTGCGCGGCTTCGGAATAACGATGGAAATAACGACGGACGGACGGAAGGCGACGCGGCGGTGCGCGCCTCCTCTTCGTCGCGGGCCGAGACGAAAGGAGAAAGAGATAGAGACGGAAAGACAGAGGAGGCGATGGAGAAAAACAAGAAAAAGAGAGAGAAGCAGTTGCCGGTAAATCGATTCTCATTGCCCCGCTCGCGGCACGGCGGGATGAAAATAAAAATGACAACTCCTCGATATACGAAATACTGCTGGGAGCCCTTCGGCCACGACGTAAACGAGGAACCCACCATGATAAATTCGCCTCCAGCTCGCGCGGTTTCTTCCGCGCCGTCTCTGCGTTACGACCCACGTACTCGTATATTTCTCGCATCATTCGCTCCTGTCTTTCTTTTTCATCCCGCTATTTTTCTCTCTCTCTCTCTCTCTCTCTCTCTCTCTCTTTCTCCCCCTCCCTCTCCCTGAAGGCGACAGCACTATGTCACGAGTCGCCGCAATTTCGCCCACTCGGTCTCCGTCGTTAATTGAGAGGTTCGCGTACGGGCACGGCCCGTCAATGACTCGTCGCTCTTTCCGGCCATTTTAAGAGCGATTACGCGTGAACGCGAGACGTTACGCGGACGGGGGTCGTTACGGCCCCTCATACCGAGGGTGGTCTCGCAGAAGAGCTCTCGGCTCGAGCGATATCCGAGAGGCTCCGCAAGATTTTCCCTCGTCGCTCGCGTAACGAGAGCCCGATGACAAAAGCTCGTTTGACTTTTATATACTGGAAAGATTAAGCTCGCGCGGCCGTAGCAACCCCGCCGCCGCCTCCTCCTGTCTGTGCGCACCCTCGTGTGCGCGAAGGACGATGTCTGTACAAATGGATTTTGGAGCTGGAACAACTGACGAGGTTGTTTCTTCGGGACGATTAAGTGGGGAGATTGGATGTGTGTGCGTTACCCGTTCCTTGTTCCTCGCTATATTTACCACCGCGATAATTTGGAATTACCGGGATGTATCCCGAGGGTACATCCTGTATCATTTGCGCCAGCGATTCTCATCCGGCGTTCCGCGAGGGCGCCCCGAAAGCTTCGTGATTACGATAACAGGATTGTTTCCCGTAATAACGTTTAACTAATTCTCGCTGAGCCTCTCATAAATTTCGCCGTTTATATGGACAGGCGCTTCACTCGTGAAAAGAAATTTTATTTTATAAAATAATAAATTCTCTGTACTTATAGAGAGAAATAGATTTTGCTTGTTGGAATAAATTTTACTTATGAGAGCAAATGATAGAAACGGGAAGGATGAGGAAAATAATCGATTTCCGCTAATAAAAGAGGGGCTCGTTAAAGCCAGCACTTCCTGGAAAGTGCTCGTGCATTTTCACGCTGTAAATTGAATCGGAAAGTTTCGCGCGCGCGCGCGCGAAAAGCACGGCGAATTTCGGAGCGCTAAGGAACAATACGACGTTCGCGGCGAATAATTTCTGCCACGGCGCGACGGCAATAACCCCGCCGACGATTAATTGGATTTCAAGAATTGTCTCCTGATAACTGCGATAAGTCACTTCGCGTAGTATTACAGCGTGATGACGATGATCTCCGCAGATCTTCCTCTCCGTCTCTTATTTTTTTACATGCTTCATTTTGACTTTACGAATCTGCCGATAACAATTGCGATAACGCTTCATTTCAAAGACAACAGTCCAAGAGAAGGTAAGGTTATACCAATAATGCGAAACTTAATGTTTCGAATTTCCAGAAGAGTCACGACTAATATCAGTCAGACGTAATTCAATCGACGCTTGTTTCGCTCACAACCGCACATTTTATTGCATTATTTGCATTATTACACTAGCGCGAGAAATCGTGGCAGCGGGGAGGGGAGGGAGGAATACGCATGGATGCATCGCGGCGACCACACAGGCAGAAATTTCCGTTTCGAATGAAATGGCCCTGGGAAAAAATACCCTACTCGACAATGCGGCAGGCGTGGTGGCGTGCCAGCGACAGCGCAGATCGTAATTCTCGACGTGTTCTGTCTTACGTATTGTCACGGGGAGATCGCGTTCTCTGCCTCTCTCTTCCTCTTTCCCTCTCCTCTCTCTCTCTCTCTCTCTCTCTCTCTCTCTCTCTCTCTCTCTCTCTCTCTCTCTCTCTCTCTCTCTCTCTCTCTTTCTCTCTCTCTCTTTCTCTCTCTCTCTTTCTCTCTCTCTCTCTCTCTCACTCTCTCACTCTCTCTGTCTCTCTGACTTTCGTCTCTTCCATTTATTCTTTTCTGGCGGAACGACGATTGGCATAACTTCGCGACTTCGACTCTCAGGCGCCACCGATAATAATCTATATGTACGATCCTGCTTGCCTTTGAATTTAATCCCACGGCACCGAGTCAATCGCGCCGATCGACCGCGAAATGGACCTTGCAAAATGTATGAGACGCATATCTGTCTTGTTTATGGCCGTCACATTTTCCTCGAGAAGGAATTTTTGCACGACGTTTTATTACACACACGCACGCACGCGCGCACGCACACACATACACACGCATACACACATGTGCGCGCGCGTACAATGTTACGTATTATTTTCGAAGCAATATGTCGCGTGTGCGGGAGAAGAAAGCATATTCTGTGCGGTAGTTATTATTGGGTTGGCTAAAAAGTAATGTCGGGATTTTTGGTAAGGAGCAGAAAAATAATTTTTTTAATATAGAAGATTTTATCAAACGATGTATTCTGATCTATGATTTTTTGCCATCTTATAGGCAGCTTCATAATACCATCCTCCCAGAATTTACCATCTTTCTCCAGCCGAAAATCTTGAAAGATGCATTTCGCAGGCCTCTAGAGAATCAAAATTTTTTCCATTAAGCGAATTTTGCAAAGAACGAAATAAGTGGAAATCTAATAAGTGCTAGTCAGGTGAATACGCTGGGTGAATAAAAACATCCCAATTCAGCTCTCTCAATTTTTTGTCGAATTTGTAATATGTATATTTTCTTTCACGTAACTCTTTCTTTTAATTGCACGTTCAAATATCAGTTTTTAAACTAATACATACATTTCATAAGTTACGAATAGTTTTAAAAATAGCAGAGACAGTATCAGAGACGGAAAAATCCGACATTATTTATTGGTCAATCCAATACTCTTTACGCGCGATAGATCTTGTCGGAGTGTCGATGGCGTTCGTCCATGAATTGGACATCGGTGTGATATTATTATTCGCTCGTACAATCGACTAATTTCCAACTCAGTTACTCCCGGACGACGCGCTCGGCCAATGTGCGATACGCGCGCGTGAAAAAGCGGCGAAAGCGCCTTAATCGCGAATAAGGATTAAACGCGGAAGCCCATTACGTCGGGAGAGCCGTCCGTCTAATTATACGTTCGCGTCGTATGGCGTATATTAGCTTAGACGATTCTTCCGCTTCGGTGCTTCATTCTTTACGCCCGCCTCGCGTCCCGCGAACGCGTTTGTTTCGCGAGTGTGTGCATTCTCGGTTTTCGCCGAGCTGCTGAATTCACAATGAGCGCGCCTCACGTGTAACGAACGCACGATGCGCATGAGGAACGATGCCTTGGAGCGCGGCATTTTTATAATAATAATTCCCATGGGCAACGCGAGAGTCTCTCTCTCTCTCTCTCTCTCTCTCTCTCTCTCTCTCCTTCTTTCTCCCTTTCTTTGTACAGCTGTGGTTCGATATGCGATTCTTCAAACGTCTCGCTTCGGCACCCATCTCTCTCTCTCTCTCTCTCTCTCCCTCTTTCCCTCTCTGTCTCCCTTTCTCTCTCGGACTGATTGCCAAGCCGCTCCTTAAAGCATGCCTTAAAGGGGATCATCTTGAATGCCGGGCTAACAGTCGGCGAAATCCTCGGGGATGAAACAGAGGGGCGGATAATCGCGGAGAAAGTTTCTCGTATGTCGGCCAGAGTGTCTCGAAAGAAATCGCGACTGTCGTCTTATAAATCCAGCTTCTCTCTTTCTAACTCTC